GTTGTAAAGTAGTAAGGTTGTAAAATTGTAAAAATTAAGGTTAGAATATTGTAATGAATTGTAAGGAAAGTTGTAAGTTTATAATAAATTATAGAGGTTATAATCTTATAATGGTTTAAGATAGTTTTATAGATTAGGTTGGCTTTTAATGATTTTATACTAAAATTATAAGGGAGGTTTTCATTTTATAATAAATTAGAATTATTTTATAATTTGGTTATTTTCATCAAGGTTAACATATTTTCTTCAGCTTCAAGGTTTATATATAATATTTTAAATACTGTAAGTACTATAAATTTCGTAAATACAGTATGCTTTAATACTATAAATGGAAAGTTACACGTAACTTATGAATCTAAAGTTTTCTTAGTTTCGGAGCGAAATAAATAATTCTATGATGACCATCGAAGAGAATCAGAGCACGGAAAGTAGAACAAGTTATTACAGGTAATTAAAACCTTCTGCAATTAGGAACAGAAATAATTAAATTATACCAAGAATTATCAACTGAGGATACAGTAAAATCGATACACGCCACTTACGTTTGATATATGTATAATTCTGGGGAACTTTTAATTATTTATCACGTTTGATTTATATGTATAAATATTGCATGTTTTTCAAATTCTCAAATTTTCAAGTTTTCAAATTTTAGGATGACAAATTTCCAAAATTTTAGTATATTAAATTTTCAAATTTGCAAATTCTCAAATTTCAGTAACACAATTTTCAAATTCTCAAATTTTAGTATTTGCTAATTTGCAAATTTGCAAATTTCCATATTTTCAAATTTTAGTTTCCTAAGTGTACAAATTTCCAAATTTCCAAATTCTCAAGTTTTAGTACCACAAATTTCCAAATTCCCAAATTTTCAAATTCTAGTACCCTAAGTTTCAAAATTTTCAAATCTCAATGCTCTAAATTTCCAAATTCACACGTTCCATTATGACAAATTTCCAAATCCTCAAATTCCACTACCCCAAATCTGTAAATCCCCAAATTGCCAAATTCTAAAATTCCATCACCCCAAATCCCTAAATTCCCAAATTTCCAAATTCTCAAATTCCAACACCCTAAATCCCTAAATCCCTAAATCCCCAAATTTCCAAATTCTAAAATTCCATCACCCCAAATTTCCAAATTCTGAAATTCCAACACCCTAAGTCCCTAAATCCCCAAATTCCACAACTCCAAATTTCCAAATTCTAAAATTCCATCACCCTAAATCCCTAAATTCAAAAATTTCCAATTTCTCAAATTCCAACACCCCAAATTTCTAATTCTCCAAATCCCACTATCCCAAATGACCAAATTCTAAAATTCCATCCCCCCAAATTCCTAAATTCCCAAATTTCCAAATCCTCAACCTTGAACACCCCAAATCTCTAAATCCCCAAATTCCACCACCCCAAATTACCAAATCCTAAATTTCCATCTCCCCAAATCCCTAAATCCCCAAATTCCCATTCTCAACCTTGAACCCCCAAACTCCAAAATATTTAACTCCCCAAATTCCCAATTTCCAAAACATCCTTTACACCTCCAAATTTCCTCCACCAATTCCCCAAAAAATATCCATAGACATGCACCCAACTAATCCACCTCCCAAGAAAAAAAATGTGCCATTTGACTGGTCTTGTTCCCACGATCTATCGCAGACAAATGCGTTCCCGTCGCCGGGTCGGAAATGGTTCCGTGGCGACGATTTTTCTTCGTTCCCGTCGCGAATTCATTTTCACCGATCGCGATTCTTCGAGGGAACTTGAAAACACTCTCAGATCGCTTGAATGGCATTGTGGCAAGGTCTCGGCGTATTCGGGAGGAGACCTAGAACGCGGCTCATTTGCGATAGATTCAAGGACCATCGAACGATATACCGGTGTCACTGGGACCAGGAATCTCCTCGCACGACTCATTTACCAGTAATTAAAACACCCACGCTGATTTGATCTGCGTACAGAGGGATTCTTCGGCTGCCGAACGCACTATCGGGAATTACGTTGTGCCTTCATCAAGGTCACCTTCCTCTTGCAAGGACAAGATGCATGTTCGATGGAAATTCCGGTTAGGCTATTTGTTCAAACACGATCTTCGTGAAATTGGTTTAACTATTCTGTAAATGTTACGATTTAACCCTTAAATTATTACGGATTAGGTTAGGTTAATTTTTATTGACGAATGTGTGTGGATATTTTTACTTTCATGACTTTAATTACTGGATAAATATTCTATCAATACAAAATTTTGTTATAGATATTTTTTATGAATAAATTGTTATTTTAGTTACTGTTTTATATTTTATGTATTATGTTTTTATTTTTTCATATTTGTACATATTGTTTTACATATACATTACACTTTTGTCATTTTATGTGTTGTATATTATAGTTTTATCATTTTCTATGTGTTATATATTACATTTTTATTATTTCATATATATTATATGTATTTAAATTTTTTTTTCATTTATTAAATACTAAATTTTCATCATTTTATATGTTTTTATTGTAGCATTATTATACTGTATTTTTGTATTTTCTTCATATGTGCTGCTTCATATTTGTTGTCCTCTCTTAAGAACATTATAAATATATGTTATAATATATTCTTTATTTGCATAAAAATATTTTATATACAATTGTTGTATTCAATTGTTATATTCAATTGTTATATTCAATTGTCATATTCAATTGTTATATTCAATCGTTGTATTCAATTGTTATATTCAATTACTGTATTCAATTATTATATTCAATTGTTGTATTCAATTGTTATATTCAATTGCTGTATTTAATTGTTAAATTCAATTGCTGTATTCAATTGTTATATTCAATTGTTGTATTCGATTGTTATATTCAATTGCTATATTCAATTGTTGTATTCAATCGTTGTATTCAATTATTATTTTCAATTGTTGTATTCAATTGTTATATTCAATTGTTGTATTCAATTGTTATATTCAATTGTTGTATTCAATTGTTATATTCAATCGTTGTATTCAATTGTTATATTCAATTACTGTATTCAATTATTATATTCAATTGTTGTATTCAATTGTTATATTCAATTATTGGATTCAATTGTTGTATTCAATTCTTATATTCAATTATTATATTCAATTGTTGTATTCAATTGTTACATTCAGTTATTATATTCAATTGTTATATTTAATTGTTATATTCAATTATTAAAAATGTTCAAATGTTATATTCAATTATGAGAAAAAGTAAAGACATGTACATAGTTCATGTATAACCTATAAAAATGTTGCACCTTCAACTCAAGAAAAAGACCCATAATAAAATAACAATAAAAGAAACTAGTTGCGTCCTACATACTTAACTAAGGAAATCGAAGGACTAACAGCAAATAAGAAGTTTTAATTTTCCGAGTCCCTGAACGGGCGCATCATCGAAGCATACACAGATTGCGTTGTATTCAAACGGAAGTCAGATAGGAAGCCGGAAAGGAGAAACTAAGTTACTTCGATCCAGTGCCAATGAAGTCGTTGATTGTGAAAAAAAAGTCCGTTTCCTTACTCGCGAATTGACTATCGATTTCCAACGAAGTCCAACATCGAGAAGAGCGTAATTTACCCTGGAAATTGTGCAAACTGGGTGAAGTTTGAATGGAAACGTAGTTCGACTTCAATAACTTACGTTAATTAGCTTTATTAACGATTCATAACACAGTTATTTGCGGACGGACGGCACCGTCGCTATAAATTATACATCGTTACATACATATGTTACATTTTCTTACAGCGCATTTCTTTTTTTAAATTATGAGTTAGAATTCGAGTATTCACAAGGCACCTACAAACAAGGAATCTTTTCGCTTGTTTGGTAACGTTGAACGTGGAATATTAAATATTGATAGTTCCAAAATTTAAGAAATAATATGTTAATAATTAATAAACGTAACATCTTCTGTTTTCTTATATTTAATTTGTGTATTTTGAAAGATTTCTGTGAGCGTCGACGCTCTGCCATGTTGCGACGTCACGGAGCCGCCATGATGCTACGTCACGGAGCCGCCATGTTGCTACGTCACGGAGCAGCCATGTTGCTATGTCACGAAGCCATTTCGTCTCGCGTTCGAAGCCGCCATCTTGTTTTCGCGTTCTTTGAATTTAAAACTAGTCAAGCAAGGTTTTGTTAATATTTTTAATACAAATTATTAGTCAAACACTTTGCATTATAATTGTAATTCCTGCTAATTACATTAAGATGTCTTTTCAAGGTATTATAATAAAGATTTTTATTTCAAGACACGAAATTAATCTTTAACTTAGTTAACTTATTGAATTTTCTTTACATTTAGTACTCGATATGGCTAGTTTTATTGTGTCTCTAAATATATTGCACACCTAATTATTCCAGTACAATCAATGATAAAATTATTCTTAAAAATTGTTAATTATGACACAAGATTAAAAGTATTGTTTCAACTAGAATTTTTCAAGATAAAAATTGTTGAAATTGTGCAAAATAATATTAGAACTTATCAAGATAAAAATATCCACGTTCGACGTTGTATAAAAAGAAAAATTACAAAAGTGTAACAATACTTGATGAACGCAAAGTGTATTGCACTGTACACGCAACATTTACATGTTATATTACTACACGATAAATAGTGGTGAGGATCACGTAAAAAAAATAAGTGGCTATAAAGGAGAGTAGAGTAACAGTGGTTCGCAAAGTACCGACATAGATTTTCGTATATTTACATGAACGAGTGACTTTCGAATTAATGACGAGTACTTTGGCAACGAGATGACACATATCGCGTATAACGCACCTTTTAAATACAAACAACTCGAGCGAGTTGTTTCGTTTCCCTTTCAAGACTCAACTGGTAACTTCTAATAAATACAAACCTTATCAGTCGCAAGCCTTCTCGTGTGCAGCACGGTATAAATTATGCAGAAAAGCAGATCGAAACAAAATAAAAGTTTTTTAAACAAAACTAAAGTTGTTTGTAAAAAATTAAAAAAATTATGTAAATAAATTAAGAAGCAAATGAGACCTTGAAGCATTAATTTTTTATTTTTTTACGACTGCATTTGATCTCATCCAAGGTTAAGTCTTAGGCTCGAACGGGTTAAAACAATCGATTCGTGTTACAAAGAACGATAAGAATAATAAATAGCAGCGCTGTAAATGTATCGATCTGCTTTCCAGCTATCGCTTTACATGCATAAAAAGGAACAGTATCAACAATGGAAGGCTACGACCTGGTACTGCAACACGAACGATCAAAGGGAATTAATCTCATCCTTCGTTGCACCGGAAACATCGTGCAGGACGCTTTACTTTTTTTTAGAGAGCTTCAGCTTGTATCAAGAATGCTATAGACAAGAAGAAAAAATCTCATGGCCAGAAGGACTGTCTTCTTGCTTCTTCAAAGAAGTCCTTCATTAACGTCTCAACGTCTCGGGCTTAATAGAGCATATGGCTGGATCGGATACCTGTAAATTAAAAATGCCACGAATCAGCGTTAGTACTAGTAAAGACTCGCAATATTCTGTTATATTGCCATATGTTATGTAGATATGCGTTTTACAGCTATACGCGTTATATGGCCACGCGTTATATAGCCGTGTAATAATAGTCATTTCATTATTGGAGTCGTGGCAGATCGTAAAGTGTGATGCAACCACGCGTTGTATAAGCACGCGTTATATAGCCACGTGTTACATAGCCACGTGTTATATAGCCGTGTAATAATAGTTATTTCATTATAGGAGTCGTGGCAGATTGTAAAGTGTGATGCAACCACGCGTTGTACAAGCACGCATTATATAGCGTCGCGTTATATAGCCACATGTTATATAGCCACGCATTATATAGCCGCGCGTTATATAGCCACGTGTTATATAGCCTTGCAATAATACTTATTTAATTATAAGAGTCCTGACAGATCATAAAGAATCATACAACCGCGCGTTACATAAACACGCACTATATAGCCTCGCGTTATATAGCCACACGTTACATCACCCGTGGAAATAAACACTTGTCTCAATACCAATTTACAAAATTATTGTGACTCCCCATAAATACAAGATGTAATAGCCAAGTGCCACATTTTTAACGCGATATATAGCCACGCATTACATTGCCATATACGTTCTTCAAAAGAGATTACCGTGAAGGCTCGAGGTATTTTGCAAGGAACTCGACAACGGAACCTCGCTGCCAGGATGCTCGTGTATCACCGTCTCGGTAATGTTGTTTTCCGCTTCGGAATGCGCGCGACGATGCTCGCGCGTCATCCCCTCGTTTTTCCGCCTTTTCTCGGTGCCGACACAACAACGTTGCTCACGTTGCAACGTCATCTCCTGGGAGTAAACGGATTCCCCGTTCGAGAACGAGTTAAAGCGTTGCCGCCTTCTCGCGGTTGCTTGGTTCGCCCGCCGGCCGACCACGCTTGAAATCTCGTGGCTTCCGCGAGACATCTCGTTCGCTCTTTCACGACGCTGCAGGGACTTCAAAGAGTCCTCGTAGCCACTGCGAAAAATAAACACAAAATAATAATAATAATAAACAATAAGAAACAATATTCATCACGGAGAGTAAATATTATTAGTATACACATCATGGTTAATTTTAATAGAAAGATAGATGTACTCGTATGAAGAGGTTATAATGATAAGATTAAGAGCAGAATAAGGTACATCGTGAGTCTGTTTAAAATGGCGGACATAAGATGTATAACAAAATGGCGGACGTCAAATGTATAACAAAATGGTGGACGTCAAATGTATAAAAAAATGGTGGACGTTAAATGTACAAGAAAATAGCGGGTGTCAAATGTAGAATGAGTTGATGGACGTTAAATGTATAACAAAATGACGGACATATCTTGGGAAACAAAATGGCGGACGTCAAAGGTACAACAAAATGGTGGACGTCAAATGTATAAGAAAATGGTGGACGTTAAATGTACAAGAAAATAGCGGGTGTCAAATGTAGAATGAGTTGATGAACGTTTAATGTATAACAAAATGACGGACATATCTTGGAAAACAAAATGGCGGACGTAGAATGTGCAACAAAATGGCGGACGTCAAATATATAAGAAAATAGCGGGTGTTAAATGTACAATGAGTTGATGGACGTTTAATGTATAACAAAATGGCGGACATATCTTTGAAAACAAAATGGCAGACGTCAAAGGCACAACAAAATGGCGTAGTATAGTGAACGATTAAAACCTGAAGGCGGACCAGAAGCATATTACCAATATATGAAATAAAAGAAACAAATTATACTATCTAAAATGCCGTCCATAAAATGCGCAACAAAATGGCGGACGTCAAGTATACATCAAAATGGCGTAACATAGCAAAAGATTGAAGCTTGAAGAGGAACCATAAGCAACTAACATAGTAAGTGAAAAAAGCGGGTCAAGCATTAGCGTATGCATGATGCTGAAAGCGTTGAAGCTGATTCGACGGCAGCAAGAATGATTCGATTGATTTGGCCGAACTCTGCTTTCAATTTAGATAGCAGGAATAGCTCGGTAAGTAATTCGACTTACTTGCTGCTCTCGCCACTGGAGGGGCTCGACGAGTGACTGCAGTGGCAGGAGGCGCGCGCCACGATCCCAGAATCCTGACCGCTGGAATGCAAGGACGTCGCGGATGCCTCGAGGCCTTTCGGGGTCCCTGTCGTCCTCCCGGCGTGCTTACTACAACCGCCCAT